TGTCAAAGACTAAATATATTAACTAACCGACTGGGCAGATGATGGTCAAACCGCAGAGAACTGAGGGATGATAGGCTGCATACACTCCGGCCACAGTCCCACCCATTGAAGTGCCCACCAGATGGAATGGCTTCCTGTTTAGCCGAATGGCCTCTACAAACTGAGTGGTGTAAAAGCAGGGAATATTCACAAATTCTGCCAATACAAACATTTTATATGCTGGCTTATGATCATAAAGTAGACTTTACGGCAAAGAGGTTTTCATTAATGATAAAGCATCATTCCAGTCTACACTCTAAAAAATGCTGGGTTAAATACAACCCAGTGCTGGGTAAAATAGGGACAAACCCAGCTATTGAGCTGTTTTGACCCAGCGGTTGGGTTAAATGTTTAACCCAACCTTCTGGGTAGTAACCCAACCACTGGGTCAAAACAACCCAATTGCTGGGTTTGTCCCTATTTTACCCAGCACTGGGTTGTATTTAACCCAGCATTTTTTAGAGTGTAGACTGGAAACAGATTCAGGCCCTATTTTGTGTCCTTTTCATGGAAACGGCCAAATATTGCTTTCATGGAACCTACTTCTTACACTCTAAAAAATGCTGGGTTAAAAAGGGACAAACCCAGCTATTGGGTTGTTTTGACCCAGCGGTTGGGTTCAAAACAACCCAACCGCTGGGTCAAAACAACCCAATAGCTGGGTTTGTCCCTTTTTAACCCAGCATTTTTTAGAGTGTAAGAAGTAGGTTCCATGAAAGCAATATTTGGCCGTTTCCATGAAAAGGACACAAAATAGGGCCTGAATCTGTTTTTATTAAGCAAATTAAAAGAGAAAAAATGTGCTTAACGTTTTGGAAAAGTTGACTGTCAACCTCAGGAGGTTTTGTTAAGTTATATTTGAGATTTTACAAATATGCTATAAAGATTTTCTATTCATTTTTACACTACTGTTTAGAGGTTTTGGGTAGGTAAGATTTTTTAAATGTTTTTTCTAAGTCTCATATGCTCAGCAAGGTTCCATTTGATGAAATACACAACCAAAACAGTAATATTGTGAAATGTAATAATGTAATAGTGTCACATGATCCTTCAGAAATCATTCCAACATGCTAATCTGGTGCTCAATAATCACTTCTGTTTTTTTTTTTTATCAACGATGAAAAACTGTTGTGTTAATATTTTTGTGGTATGTGGAATTTTGTGATGCTCACAAAAGAACAGCATTTTGTTGAATTATATTTACTGTCACTTTTGATCAATTTAATGCTGAAAAATATGAAAAATATTTATTTATGATATTCTTTATTCTTTATATTTGCTTTTGAACTTTTGGTTGTGTATATGAATATTTTAAATTGCATCCCTGTTACCAAATTTTGGAACATACAGTTAAAAACCCTATATTATTGTCTAGCCATAAACGTGAAATAACCATAAACATTACATTCACAAGATTTATGAAATACTATAACATATAAATAAAACTGCCAGACTGGTAACAGAGTGGAGAATTTAGTTTAAAGTTCAGTATATGGACAGTAATTTCAGACCAAGGATTTGGTACAACAATTAATTGAATAATTATGTAATTTATGGCATTTTATATCTAATAGTACTCACAGCACACACATAGTATTTTATGCATCTACGGGCTTAAAAACAAAGTCATGGGGCATCTATTTGTACCCCATTCATAGAAGAACATCCCCATCCAGCGATTACCTGCCGTATTCTCTTGACCTGGCCTTGGATTGAATAGTCGTCGGTGTTGGTACGTGTTGTACCCTCATGTCCCGGCATGTCAACACATAGTAAGTGCAGATGTTTGGGAAGGTACTGTTTAGGATGAAGACACGATGTGATTATCGCTGTTATAAGCAGCAGCATTTTCATTTTACCTCACAGCCAGGCCATTTAACATACTGTACCTTCACCATAGGAAGCCATGTGTCCTTGTGAGCAGAGAAGTCATGCAGCATGAGTACAGAAGGCCTGAGGCCTGGTTTCCCCCTGTATGAGTAACAGAAGCGATAACCCCCGCAGTCTGCATAACGTACCCGCAGACCCAGAGTTCTCCTCCAGTACCTCCACAAACAAATTACATGGGTAAAAAATCTATAGACAACATAACTACAAAAGATGCATGTAAATGCATGCATACACTCAAAAATAGTGGATTTAAATATTTGAATTGCTTATACATTTTCATCCATTTGGATTACACAATTCAAACATAAATTAATAAGATTAATGTGACTCATATTTGTCAGTCAAATGAAACAGGATTTCTGTAAACAATGTTTCAATAACCAGGTTTATATATTTATCATCAAGAAATTCAGTTTATTTCAATTACATTTTAACCATGTAATTTGAATACATTTAATTTTCACAACGAACAGATTCATGCTGATTCTTAGCAATTTCTGTCTTTGATTAAAAGATGAAGATTGAATGAATATTTAAATAAATCAAATAGATACAAAAATAAAGCCGGTACGATTTCATGGCATAATTTATTATTAACCCTTTGCATGTCAGTATGACTGACAAATATGCATCACTTTAAGTTTATTAGTTTGTTTGTTAAATCTGTATGATTCAAATTAATCAAAATTTTATACACAACCTAAATACATAAAAAATATTTGTGGCTAAATTTAAGATTTAAGTGAAACTATAAAAGATATTCATTTAAATGATACATTTAAACATGTGTACAGTGTGGCTCAAACAACTGATACAATGAAAATGTTTATTTATGCATTTGTCTAATTTAATACAAATTATATTGTTATTATTATTTATATAAAGTATTTATTTCATACAATTTGAATGTCAGTCACAAATTTGGTAAAAAAAAAAAAAAAAGATTTGATGACCTAGAAATCCTAAATATCTCTTATTCATTTCACATCATACCTTTTAGTTATTTTACATTTTTCAATCCTAGAAAATTACTTTCAGTTTCCTTTAATGAAAACCAGGAGGTTGGGCTTCAATTCTAAAGAAAGATATTTATAGACTATTATAAAATAATATGCATATTTATAGTATTTCTTAGTGGTATTTACCAGTAATAGACTTTGATGAGTGATGATGGCCACAGCATAAAAGAGGCCATGAAAAGGAGGAGAGGGATAGCAAGAGTCCCTGCAGCAATGGCAAACATATTGGCCATATCCCGATCCATGGCAACTCACTTTTTATCTAGTAAGCACCCTGCAGAACAATACAGCACACAATTACAAACAGAAACGACTGGCAAATATGACACATGCTAGGGAATGAAGTAAAACTTCAAGATACCTTTGTTGTCCTGCTGTATGTACAGGTCAGAGTGAATGAGGCTGAGGGATGGGGGAGGCTCTGGCAGCATCTGTTTGTGTCTAATCAATACATGTAACCTAGATATCTCACCATGCGCTTAAAATATTTACATGACCATCATTTTCTCCCTTCATTTTAGTGTCACTGCCTAGAAAAAAATTTTTTTTGTATATTCACAGATATTTTACAATTCTGAACATACATCTACAAATACAGCATCTCACTATAAGACAATTGACCCTTTGATTTGTTAAAAGTATAAATCGTTAAAATAATAACAACTGACCTATGACTCAACAAATAGATTTGGAACAATTTGAGAGCAATGAACTTACTTCATAAGGTTAATCCTACATTGACGTCAGTCAGTTCTAATCAAGCGGTTTTAAATGACAGATCCAAAAGTCCCATTTAAACATCACACTGTAGCCAGTCAGTGTGCAGTCTGTTCTTATAACTTAATAAACATCCATGTCAGCTGTCTGCCTACCCCAATGAACACTGAGATGGCATCCAGAGAAAACTCTATGTGGGGATCTCGTGATCCCAAGAAATCAATGAGTTCAAATGGAAAATGCAATATTCCTCTTACTCCCCAAAAAAAAAGTAAATAAAACCATCAATAAATAAATAAAAATTTAAAAAATAATATCAAATCAAGATACAGAGACATTTTCTGCAGATATGTTCCATTTGACATTTAAAGCCATTTAATTGGATTTATGCTCATTGCACATTTATGTTGACATTTTTTAGAAATTTGTACACATTCTCAAGATGAAACCAGATCTAAAGGCATCACTACATTTAGACCATTGTGAGCAAATTTATGGAGGCAAATTCACATTTGTTCAGAGTTGAAATTAAAAGGAGTCACCTAATTTAGTTTTGCATTAAATATAGTGAAAGGTAAAACTATTTGGAGAATATTAGAGTATATTTTAAAATTATAACATTAAAAAAAAATTAAAAAAAATGAATACTTTCACTGAGCGCGGGTGCATTAAATCGACTTCTACATTGTAAAATAAAAAAAAAAGTAAACTAAAATGTAAATGAATGCTTTTCCTTTGGACTTTCTATTTATCAAAGAATCCAGAAAAATGCACAAAAACATGAAGCAGCACAACTGTTTATAATATCAATGATAATAAAAAAATGTTTCTTGAGCAGCAAATCAGCATATTAGAATGATTTCTGAAGGATCATGTGACAATGAAGACTGGAGTAATGATACTGAAAATTCAGCTTTGCATCAAAGGAAATTGCCTTTAAAGTTGTCCAAATGAAGTCCTTAGCAATGCATATTATTAATCAAAAATTAAGGTTTGGTATATTTACGGTAGGGAATTTACAAAATATCTTCATAGAACATGATCTTTACTTAATATCCTAATGATTTTTGGCATAAAAGAAAAATCGATAATTTTGACCCATACAATGTATTTTTGGCTATTGTTACAAATATACCCATGCAACTTATCACTGGTTTTGTGCTCCAGGGTCACATATATAAAAAAAAGTTATTTTAAAATGTAATAATTATTCCACAATATTGCTATTTTTACTGCATTTTTGATTAAATGTATCCTTGGTGAGCATAGGAGACTTCTTTTTGAACTTTTGAACAGTAGTGTATATACACACACACGCACATAAATGCAGGTATTTCACAGAACAGTAATATGGAATGGAGATCCTGGAATGTGTTCATCTCCCCACTTCACTGCTAATATGTATTTTCCTCTTTCTTTCACAGCATAGGTGATCCTGTACTGATGTCCGCCCATGTGAATGATTGACACCCGCTCGCAGGGGATGGTGGGGCCATGCATGCCGACAAAGAGAAGGTTTCGTCCTACAACACAAAAGTAGCTACACAGTTCTGAGAGAGACATTTCTCTGGAGACATTACTTAGTGAAATGAGTTACTTAACATTCTTGCCAATGTCAAGCTGCACTCACCAGCTTTACTGCAGTCCACATAAAAAGTGTTTTTGCGTCCTAGAAAGCTCTTACTCAGGCCTGGGCCATGGCAGATGACTTTACTAGCGTCAGACAGGAAAACTGTCTCAGCACTGCTGTCAGATGTTGTGTTTATCTCCATGTCTGACAGAGAGGGTTCCTCATAACTGTCACACATCTGATTATGATCTATGGCTGGAAAAGAACAAAGTACCATCAGACCTACACACTCAAATATCTCCAATGCAAAATAGAAATGGTCTCCAAAACATTGCTAATTCATACCAGAGCAATTTTGTCCTTGTGTGAGACTCTTATCTGTGGCAGCACTGACAGACACATAGAAAGGGCTTTGAGAAACATGCTCCTCATCAAACATGACTGAAACCTCATAGTCACCTGCAAGAGAACAAATTCTGTAAATCGGTCTATAAATCTGCCCTTTCCTTCCTAAGAAAATCATCAATCAATATGCTGACATTGAATGTACATTTATATTTATATAAAGTGTAAAGCAGGATGAATTCTGATTGGCTGTCAATATTTTTACTGGCAATTTTAACAATATTGTTCCTCTGTGTTGTAATTGTTATAGCTGTGATGTGGATGTCCCTATTCTCATATAATTTTTGAAAAATGTATAGTTAACATTGTTGTTGTCATTATAGTTATTGTCCTTGGTTTGAATGGGTCAAGTCTTAATATATTGAATAAAATACTAACCCACTTTTTGAAAATAATATTCAATAATGGAAATATTACACTGAAAAAAAACTGCAAGAAACAATTTTCACTCAGAAATTGCTAGTAAATTTCACAAAAAAAAAAAAAGTGTGAAATTTTCAAGAAATCCTGAAATCCTAGTATTTTCTTGTAAAACCTGCTCCAATAATCTTTTTGTTTACATGTTTTTTAATTGTATACATGTTTTTATCATAGTATCACAAATTTATTTTAAATAATTCTAAGTTATTCCAGATCTCTAGTGACCATCATTCTCCAGAAAGTCACACCATTTTTGGCAGGAAGGCAATAGGACAGTAGTGGATTTGATGAATTCTGTTATGTTTTTTTTTGTGGTATTAACTGATTCGTCTTACTTTAAAACTTTCCATCCTGTTCAATACAATTACAGATATTGGTATTATAATATCAAAACTTCACATATGGTCAAAAATGATCTCAATTATCAAGTTCACATCCTCATATAAGCTATCTTCAGTCATTCTACGAGGCAGCCTGTTCATTTTCCATTGTGTAAATAATCAAAAGCCATACGTACTTAAAGTTTAGGATTCATAAAACACAAACATTTTTTAAACATTACATATACTGCATTACAGTAATTACCCACCAGGCTCTTGAGCAGTGTAGGACACAATGCAAGAACCATCCAGCTGATCGTCAAAGTGGAGCTCAATCTTTCCAGGACCCTCTACTGAGACAGACAGAGTTCCCGCTCCGGCCTCATGGGACCAAATATTAAAGTCAGCTGCAAAATGAGATCAATACATACTTTTGAAATGACTCACAATCGACTTAGCCAGCTGTCACAGAGTATATAACAAAACACCTCACATTAACAGAAAACAGAAAGAGAAAAATATTAGTGGGATACCTGGAACACTTGCTAGAGCTTTTTGAAGGCCTTGCCCCCACACCTGGACCTTTTCACATCCTCCCTGTCCAAGTGGGCCGACGGTGTACTGCAGTGGCCAACCAGGGATTGTCTGATCTTGGTTATTTACGGTCACATTATAAACTCCCATCTCTTTAGCTAGAAAGCTCACTGCATAGGTGTCACTGCCTGTGGAAACAATAACAGCCTCTCCTGGACGTCCCGAGGGCTCATGCACATAAGCAGACAGAGTCTCAGCATCAGTACCTGTAATGAAAGGGAATGTATTTTTGTTAGCGGCACTGCAGAGTCCTGGAGAATCAGATATAGTGCCTGGATTAGTGTGATGGGCTATTCATCTAACCTGGGATTTTGAAGGCTAAGCTGCATTCACTCCCAATGCTGGCAATAGGAGCTGCTTTCTGGTTGTACGTGATGTTCTCTCTCATAAGCCTACGGTCTGTCACCACAGCTGTAAAAGGACTCCCTGGTAAAGAGGAATATAAGATTTATTAATTTATTATACTTTACTCCAACTCCTAATTTAGAAAAGGTAAAACCAGAAGCCTAATGTCCCCTAAAAGTTGTGAGCCAAATGGATTTAAGAGCAATTTCACCAAAAAAGTTATACATTTAAAATAAATAAATTATATAAAAAAAAATATATTAATTAATATATTAATTAAAAAATAATGTTTTAATAATATAAATTTACCCAAAATATACAATATTTACAAATTCTTTATACACTACCTTTCAAAATTTTGGAGTCAGTAAAAAAATAAGTTTTTTATGCTCACCAAGGCTGCATTTGTTTGATCAAAAATACAGTAAAAAAAAATAGTAAAGGTCATGAAATATTATTACAATTTAAAATAACAATTTTCTCTTTTAATATATTTTAAGATGTACTTTATTCCTGTGATGGCATAGTTGAATTTTCAGGAGCCATTACTCCAGAAATCATTTTATGATGTTGATTTTAGAAAGCTTAAGACACATTTCTTATTATCAATGCTAAAAAGAGTTGTGTGGCTTAAATGTAACAAATTGTTTTTGTGAAACTGTTACACATTTTTGTTCAGGATTGTTTGATGAATAGAAAATAAACATTTATTTGAAATAAAATTTTTTTTGGTAACATTAAAAATGTCTTTACTCTAACTTTTGATCAATTTAATGTGACCTTGTTAAATAAAAATACATAAAAGTACATGTTGTTGCATAAGGCAGCTCTATTAACCTGGAATGTGTTCATCTGAGAATTTAATGGCGATTTTGTAATTCCCAGCCTTGATTGGGCAGTACGATATATTGCAGGTTCCGTGCTCCAGCTCCTCAGTGTGAACGTCTACTTTACTGGGACCCTCAATTACAATTGTTAGCCCACCATATCCTGCAGGTTGCAAGTTTAGGGGGGGGGATTAATTTTGCAGCATCATAACACACAATCCATACCGTAATATAAGGTGCAAGTCAATTAATTTGATTAGACAGCAACATACCTGCATCCCAAGTGTCAACCACAAATTCAGATGTGCAGAAGGTTTGCCCTGTATGTAAGCCAGGGCCGAAGGCCTTCACCTTGCTGGTATCTCCTATCTCTGCCTGACTGATGGAAAGAGAGATGGGACTGTTGTTCACATGCTCACCGTCCTTCATGATGCTGACCAGATGCTCACCAGCCTCTCTGGGGATGAATGATACACCTGCATAACAAACAAAGCACACCTCTGATAAAGTTTGACAGTGGCACTAAGGATGTGGGTATCTTTGAGGTGACCAAATGCTAAAACGTAATTGTTGAGGCTTATTAATGCTTGCCATTTAATTTCTACCAACTGCAGCTGTGTGTACATTAATAGATGGCTCACCAAGATGGCTGTCAGGTTGTGTTTTCAGCAAACAGGGTACATTATTGCCTGCGGGTGACATGATGCTGGCGGAGAGCTGGCTTATATCTTTTTCAGTGATGTCCAGGGTAAAGTCAACAGCACTGCCCAGTTTTACCTGTGACCTTCTCACATTTCCATCTGTATTGGGTTATAAAAACCATGCATCTAGTAATTTAAGCTTTGGTCACTATGACATTATGAATACTGGTTTGAGGTTTGGTGGGGTTTCCATACCAGCAATTCTGGACTTGAAGGGACTACCTCGGATAGGCACGTCATCAGTTTGAATCTGGATCTCATAATCTCCAGGCTCAGTTGGGAAGTAGCTCACAGTACAAGTGCCATCTTCATTGTCCACACAGCGCACATCTGCCTCAGATGGACCCTCAATTGTGATGTCCAGCTCACCTAAACAAATAATATACGAAAATAACTCTAAGACCCAAGTAAAAAAACTCAATTTTCTCTTTAGGGAAACAGGGAGTTTTAATGATAACTTGGTTCACCTCGTAGCTGTCTTGGTCTATAGCTTACAACATTTTAACAGACTTTTTTAAAACCCCTCTGTGAAAAATTTATGGAATAAATACTTCTGGAACCAAAGCCGCTGAGAAAGTGGGCAAGCACTAATGTACTCTATTATAATGGCAATGAATAATATTTCATTATGCTTTGATAGCAGCAATGTTATTACTGTATTTTTGCTCATAAAGATGATCCATTTCAGCACACTTTCCACTTGACTTTATTACGGTTCTTGGTTCTATTGACACACAGTTGAGTGAAGAGTCAACTAATATTGGATGTACAAACAATATAAAGTACAACTGCACAAAAATGTAAACAGTCCGTTATTATGGAATCACAAAACAAACGCTCACTCGAGGCAGAATCTTCCTGACAGATGGTGAATGTTGCTGTCTCATTTGCAATTCCATACACAAGGCCACGTCCATAGGCCATAGTGCTGCGATTAGCAAGACTATTTGCATAATACTGCAGTGGAAGTTCTGCAGAAAGGAGAAAGAAAGGAGAAAGAATTGTATTTAAACTGTTCTGATGGAATAAATATCACAAATGTTGATTGTTGGATGAATGAATTAAATCAAAATTAAGAAGAGCAAATACATTCAATAAACTTGTAAAGCTGGTATTTAGTGACATCTATGCCAAATATATGAAAAAAAGTAGTGGATCTCAACCAAGGGGCTTTGAAAAACTGACTTACAATGATTAAAAATAAGACAAAACAAGCATTAAAATAAGGCAAAATAACTAAAAATCAACACATCCTATTTAATTCACCTCCTAAACAACCAAAATTCTTATATATATATGAGGAAGTTTGAGTTCTATTTCATATAATAATAATAAATAAATAAAAAAAAACATTATGGGTAACTTAAAAGATAAATAAAATAATAATAATGAATATAAATTTTTTCTAGTTATGCAAAGCTCTAAAATATTTTATGCTTATCCATTAAAGCATGATCAACTGTAAAGCAAACACTAAAATATCTGATTTTGTTTGCTGAAGAACTAAAGAAGTTCTTCAGCAAGAAAATATATTTTCCATCCAGTCTAACCTGGTAAATCATTTCTGGATGATTTAATAAATAGCTGGTGAAGACCCTCTTCTGAAGGATCAAACTTTAGAATGATGGTACCATCTTTGTTATCAATCACACTGGGCTGTGCTGTCTTTCCAGACGGCGTGATCACCTCACCTGTGAATAACATTAAAATAATGATGCGAGGCTGCGATTATTAAAATGAACAAGTGAATCTGGGAAACAGCTCACCTGTAATTTCACCTTCACTTAATTCTGATGGCAGGACTATATCACATGATAGAAACCCTGCTTGATTAATGGCACCGAGAGGAATTACATTTCTGCCCTCAACCTGATGAGAAATAATGAAGATGTTAAAGACATTCAGGGTACGAAATGTCTCAAGGACTCAAGACATTATTAAATGGATTGAAATTAACCTTGAAGAAGCTTCACACATTCATACCTTGTTTTGAAAACCTTGATGTTTGCATGAGGATGACGGCTGGTGACTATTATTCATGTCACAATTAATTAGGGATAAACAAAGTACAAATTAGTGAATAATGAATAAGGATATTGAGGTAGAATGATTAATGTATATGGTTTAGATCAGGGGCGTAGCCATCATTTCAGAAGTGAGGGGGACAGAAATGTTATATATATATATATATATATATATATATAT